TGTTGAACGCGGAGGTGTCGTACGTTCGGTACTCGATTGATTGGATCGCGAAGAAAATTTTGGTACATCAACCGCGTTGTCAAATGCTTCCGCTTACGGTCTATGAGGGTACGTAGACACACTCTCCCCCTCTTGTTGCTATGCATCTCCTTGATAGATCTTGCGTGTGTGTATTTTTTTGTTTTGCATGCAATGTTTCCTAGCAACATTTGCTGAATCAGGAAGAGAAGGTAGCAACATGCATGACCCTCATCCGACAGCTACGCGACATAAATTGAACGGCTAAACACCCGACTAATTTCTGTCGGATGACCCCTAACAGCCGCCTTAATTCCAACATATAGTAGACCCGAAGAAATTGTAAGCATGCATATGTGTCTCATTGTAGAATATCATGTTAGATTAAAATAACTATTAAAAAACCATCATGCATTTGTAGAGAACAAATATAATATGAAAGACTGAGCTATTAAAAATATCATGTAAAACTTCTATGCAAGCACAAAAGTAACATTGCTCCAGTTTTTAGAAATAATTATATGTCAAAATTAAAAGTCTCATCAAAGAGTAAGATATTTTTATGTGGTTCTAGGGGTAATGTTGATCAAATATAACTTGGCCAAACGTAGGTGGCAGGGATGTACTTTTTGTGATCAGAAGGAAAATCCTTTGTTTTGATCTAGCTCATTGGTGAAGTTGCTATGGCGCACAATACATGTTGTTTTTAATTTACCTCCTCCAAGCATGGTGAATATGTACGGTAGCTGGTTGGAAACAGTCCACTCCAAACATAAGGCGCATATATGTAAATGTTTGTGTGCTTTAGTGTGGCAATATGGAATTGTTGTAATGACCTTGTCTTTAACATGTCTAACCTTTTAACATTTTGCAGGTCATGCATGGAGTTACTAGTTCAAGGACGTGGACTTTTGGCTCTGGGAGCATATACTCCCAAATGAAGAGTAAAATCAAGATAAATAGTAAATAAATTTTAAAAATTCTGATTCTTTTGTTGATGTTCATATTGTGTGGCAAGTGTGATTGACAATTTACATGCCATATAGGATAGCAATGCTTCATGGATGAAAAAACACAAATTAAGTGTAACCTTTGGCGTTCCACTTTTTTTAGATAGGTCAAAATACTTAAGTTTTTCCACTGAAAATTTGTGTGTACTATTTGGATATGACAATGAACACATTTATTTTTATCAATTTTTTCTACATTTGTCAAATCCATTTTGGACACGCGGGAGCATGTGCTCTGTAGAGCCAAATGGATTTTCGCTAGTTCAATCCCTACATGGTCAATGCTACTACGTGTGGAGGACCCATGGTACATGTACTATGGGTGCAACCGTATGAAGATGGTTCCATGGGATTTATTCAACCGGAGTGGATGGCGATCCAATGATTAGATGTCTGATTGAACTTTGTAATATGTTAGCTCCTGCTTGTTCTGAGCCTTTTGCTCTTTTTATTTATATACTTTTGTAAGACCTTGTGGGTATTTAATAGCTCATATCCACGTCGGTATTCTGGGATGATGCAGCACAACTTCGGTAGGTATTTTCCTCATTTATGAAACCAAGGTTATCGAACCAGTAGGAGAACCAAGCAACACTATGTAAACAGTACATGCACACAAAGAACAAATACTTGCAACCCGACGCTTATGAGGGGTTGTCAATCGCTCTATGGGTAATGGCGCCAGAAATTGTCAAGTTAACGGGATAAAATTTGTGGTAGATTGGATAAATAGATCTCGATAAAACATGAAATAAAAGATGCAAATAAAAAGTGCAGCAATGTATTTTTGAGTTTTGGAATAATAGATCTGAAAACAAAAGCGAATAAAAATATATCTGAAAGCAAATAAGATAAATAGAACCAGGGCCGTAGATTTCATTAGTGGCTTCTGTCAGAGAAAATAGCATATGGTGGGTAAACAAATTACTCTTGGGCAATTGATAGAACATTGAATAATTATGACGATATCCAAGCAACGATCATTATAGAGGCGTCACGTCTAAGATTAGTAGACCGACTCCTGCCTGCATCTACTACTATTACTTCACACATCGACCGCTATCCAGCATGCATCTAGTGTATTAAGTTCATGGAGAAACGGAGTAATGCAATAAGAACGATGACATGATGTAGACGAGATCTATTCATGTAGTAATAGCCCCCATCTTGTTATCCTTAATAGCAACGATACATGCGTGTCTTGCTGCCCCTTCTGTCACTGGGAAAGAACACTGCACGATCGAACCCATCACAAAGCACCTCTTCCCATGGCAAGAAATATCGATCCAGTTGGCCTAACTAAACCAAAGATTCGAAGAAGAAATACAAGGCTATAAGTAATCATGTATATAAGAGATCAAATAAAACTCAAATAACTTCCGTGGATATAGATCTGATTACAAACTCGAAGTTCATCAGGTCCCAACAAACACACCGCAAAAAGAATTACATCAAATAGATCTCCAAGAGACCATTGTATTGAGAATCAAAAGAGAGAAAGGAAGCCATCTAGCTACTGCCTACGGACCCGTAGGTCTACAATGAACTACTCACGAATCATCGGAGAGGCACCAATGAGGATGATGAACCCCTCTGTGATGGTGTCTAGATTGGATCTCATGGTTCTAGAACTTGCGGCAGCTGGCATTGTGTTTCATCGACTCCCCTAGGGTTTCTGAAATATTTGGGCACTTATAGGGCGAAGAGGTGGTGCGGGAGGCCACCGATGTGGGCACAACCCACCAGGGCGCGCCTGGGCCCCCAGATGCGCCCAGGTGGGTTGTGCCCCCCTCGGGGCACCCCTCTGGTATTTCTTTGGCCCAAGTTATATTTTCTGGTCCATAAAAGTTCTCCAAAAAGTTTTGTTGCGTTTGGACTCCATTTGGTACTGATATTCTGCAAAGTAAAAAACAAGCAAAAAAACAGCAACTAGCACTGGGCACTATGTCAATAGGTTAGTCCCCAAAAATGATACAAAGTTGCTATAAAATGATTGTAAAACATTCAAGATAATATAATAACATGGAACAATAAAAAATTATTGATATGTTAGAGACGTATCAGTATTCAGTACTTTACTCTTAGTAAATATGATTCTGCATCGTGTGATGTAGGGGCATGGAAAACCTCCTTTTCAAAAGAATAATGAGAAAACTGGTGGTGGGCGGTGTAGTTTTCTTTGCTTAGCTATTGGAAACGAAGATGTCGAGCTAGTTCAACAAAATATGAGCTATGGTCTATGCGCATTGAGCTCAACTTGTTTTTGAAGAACCCTACATGCAAAAGTATATATGAGCCTCTCTTAAAAGATAACACATTAAACCTCACCTCGGCTTAAAATCCAATCCATGTCCATATGGCTTGTAAAGTGTGAGCCTTGCTAAGTTTTTTTCGAAAAAAGGAGAGTCTAAATTTCCTACATCATCTAGAGCATGTTGTTCATCCCACACCCTTAAAAATAATTTCATCAATTCTTTTTTCCAGGTTATATTTTCTATCTGAGTTGTTTTGGAGCTCGAGCCTATATGCTCCTACATGGAAGTAGAAAAATAAAAGTATTCACAATATTCTAAATATTCCTCACAATGAACACGAGCTTGTTTCCTAACTGTATGCATTTTTTGTCGAGAAAATACATGTGTGGCGGCCTTTGCCAAAGAACAGAAACAAAAATGATTACTCTAAAAAGCTTTTTAGCATTGAATTTTGCTATTTTTTTCAAACCACCACTTGTGTCTTTTCTTCAAGAAAATTTGCAAGCGGTTGAAACACACAAATTTTAAAAATTAATACTATTTTTTGATTTCACTAATAGGAGGGAGCATATAAGCGTGATCTCACAATTGAATTTGTCTCTCTTTCTTTACTTTTCATTGTTGGTCTCTCTTTATCGATCGTCTACCTTGGTTATTCCTCTAGACTCAGTTCTTCAATTAGAATTTGTTTTAGAAAAATATCTCCTTACCTCTTGGCTTGTAGTGTTTGGACTCAGATTCTAAAATGGCAAAGTATCACTTAGCACAACACCGGCTTTACATTCACACTGCACATGCTAAAAATTTCTTTTAAACAAAGCGTTTACATAATAAGTTGGGATCCAACCAAGGGGTTTGCCTAAAAACAAGCATTGTAGAATACATTCAACCAAGGGGTTCACCTCAAAATTGATCAAAGAATGCACATATAGAGCCAGAATTTTACGAAGACTACAGTGAAATATGTGCTACATGAGCCATGAGGAGAGATATAACCCAGGCTGGGCGTACATTCACTAAAATTCATATAGAAAACCTTTCACGCCCCGGGAAGGAGCCTAAGATATGTCTCTACCGTTGCATACATCAAAGTTTCTAGAGGAACCAATGAAAATCATACTGCATTTATTCACACCTAAATAAACACCACGCCATTCTTGCTCCCTAGTGGATAGTAAATTGACACCTGCCCAACTATTGTTATGTCATATCCACCTACTAACCCATTCATACCTAAGGGACACACCCATGATTAACACGGTCATCAGATGGAGATTTGCATAATTGGTGTACTGCTCTAGCCAACTCCTTAGTAAGCAACAAAAATCAGGGCTTGGCCTATAAAAAACAATATTCTCATGCATCATAGGAATGCCAAGACCTCTAGCATTGCAGACAGAGGATAAAGTTGACAAAAGTAGATGAGTAAACTGATTTATCACCCTCTCTTCCATGGATCATCACCACACCACCATCCAAAACAACCGCTCTAAAAACTCCAAGCACATCAAGCCTTTTCATTTAAGACCAAGCCAATTTCACACAAATACATCCAGCCACCTTCTACGCGAGCATTCATAACAAAGTATATCTTGCAAAACTTTGAAGCTCCATGCCAAATAGCTACTGCACTTTGCTTTATGCACCATCACCATTATTGGTGTGCCATTTCACACAAATTCTTTCAAATTAAATTTGGGAAACGGAGGCTAAATTTATGAAAGAAACACAACATAATGGTCAACATTCACGGATGGATGAGGAGTTGAGGTGCCCAACAATCACTTGGGTATGCCCTACACTAGAGACACTCATGGCATTTATGAAAATTTTCTTTACACCTATGACAAATATGATATTCATGAACACTGAGCCTAGTGTGGTTGGTAGATGGGTGTTGAGACCAACCAACCCACTCACCTTCAAGGCTTTGAACCTGCAAGGACTCTAAATAGAAAACTATGGTATGCAATTAATGGTAGAGCTAGCATTGTCTAGAGCATATGAAGTTATGAACCACATTTTATGTTCATGAATGATCTAGAGAAGCCCAGGGAGAGGTAGGGTAAATTCTTGTATGTGATAATGTATGTAAATAAAGTTCACATGTTTTCTCAATGATAATCTTAGATATATTATTCTTATGTGTTTAGTTACCATAAGATTATGTATGTCAACAGATTCGATTCATGTTTCTTTATTGTGTTCCTAAATTATGATTTCCGCGAAGTCTCGCATCCTAATGTGCACATTTATAGTACAAAAGTTTTAGGGAGTGAGTTACATTTGCACTACATTTCATTCCAAGGTACAAATCATAATCAATTATGGTAAATAAATACTAACCAAGTCGACTCTTAACAAATATGTACATGGAAACCCTAATAACAAGATCATCGTGGCTGGATATCAGTTATTGAGGCATATTTGATCGACTTTTGAGAAACCAATGGTTCACTCCTTAACATGGCTGATGGCGCTAATAATGGGACGTTTCTCACCGGCTTAGATGGCGCGGGCAGGCTAATTTGTTCACTAACAAGCATTAGCAGGACATTTGACATGGTTGGTCGAATATCGGGGTCATCTTGCACACAGAGGAGGCTGATTTGGAAGCAGCGCCATGCCTCGTCCCTTGAGTAGGATTGCCCAATTGCACTGTCAATGAATTCATTTGCCCGATCGTCAATCCAGAACTTCCATGCCTGCCAAAAAGGAAGTTCATTTGACGAGATGAAGCATTTTAGCAGATTATTCTACGGTCCTATAGTAGATTTTTTAATTTACACACATCTTGGATGAGGGATTGTTGGTGCTCCTCAAGGTACGATATGCCATTTCGTTTTCCACTCAAGATCTCTAGTAGGAGGACTCCAAAGCCGAAAACGTCTGATTTCGCTGAGAAGACACTATCCATCACAAATTCCGGTGCCATGTACCCACTGCATTAATAATTCAACTTGGGGTGAGTAGCATATACATATAGCATTTCATGGTTGTAACCTACCAATAGTAGCTTGTGATTGCTAATTACTAGGTTCCGACGACGCGTCCCGTGTTGACACCATTGCATTCGTCCTTGAAGATCCTAGCCAAGCCGAAGTCAGAGATCTTGGGGTTCATCTTGTTGTCGAGTAGAACATTACTTGGCTTGAGGTCTCGGTGGATGACCTTGAGCAGTGAGTTCTCATGGAGGTAGAGTAACCCACGGGCAATACCAATGATGATGTTGTGCCTGCTATTCCAGTCTAGCGCGGTGCTCTTGCTGGTGTCTACCAATTTCAATACCACATGGACATCACAGGTGATGAATTAGCTCATCAAGGACACAATTAAAAAATTAAAATGATGTTATTGTTGATTAATATTATTTTAGTGGGAATTCCATATATCCTCTTTTATGTGTGCATGATTAACAAATGCCTAATTAAGAAATTTGACATGACTATACTTTAGTTAAAGATCATCAACAAAAGTGTATCCTACTTAGACATCTTCTCCATGCTGGAAGAGTGAAAGAGGTAGCTCATTCATTATGACAAGCATGGCCTCCGTCTCTTCTACTTCCTCATTCCATACCTCCGCATTCTTCCTTCTAAATCACCTTCCCAAGCCACCACATCTCTGTGACGCCTGGATAATTAGGCTACAGTAATCCCGCGTTAACGATGCCACGTCACCTCAGTTACTGTTGCTAATCTCGCGTTAGTTCGAAACCGATTTAAATTCAAATCTAGAATCAAGAAAAACAATAAAAGTTTTCAAATATTAAAACTAAAGTGTTCAAACTGTAGAAAATAAATCATAGATAATTATTATGGTGAAACCACATTTTAATAAATTATTTAAATGCACTAAAATAAATAAAACAACAGCTTGAACAATTAAATAAATGCCTTTTGTTAATTATAAAATATTAAACTATTTTATTTGGGGTTTAAACATTTGTAGCCATGTGTAATTAGTAAAACTAATTTAGGTACTAATAATGTATTTTACAAAACTAAAATATATTGATGAATGTAATAAAACAGAAAAGAAATAAATAAATAAAAAGGAAACAAACAAAAACTAAAAAAAAGGGCAAGCCCCCCCTTTCCCTGGGCCGTTCGGCCCAACTGGGCATCCAAGCCACCGGCCGGCCTAGCTAGCCACCAAACCCTTTTTTCTGTTCACAGAGGGGGGATCGTGGCAGAGATCCCCCGGCTGTGGCCGGGGCATGTCGCCGTGGCGGCCATCCTCGCCTCCCCGACGACTACAAGCGCCCCCAGACGCCCGTGTCCCCTGGATCGAACCCTAGCTCCATTCCCCTCCCTTCCTCGCGCCGCCATCGACCTCCCCGCCCCCGCCAGGCCGAACCAGCACCGCCATGGCCTTAACCGTTCTCGCGCTCACCGAGCTCCCGGGCACATGAGAATTTGTCCCCGCGATTCATCGCCGTCCACTGCTTCGACTACGTCCAAGGATCGAGCTGGAACGCGCCAAGTCAAGCGGATCGACGCCTTCTTCCACCTCCAGCCATCACAGCGCCACCGTCGATCCCGGCACCCTCTGCTGCTCCCGTCCCTCGTCGAGCCTTTCTTGTGCTCCCCGGTGAGCTCCCGCTCGAAATCCCTCTACCTAGTTCTCGAATCCGTGTTTGTAGCCGCCGTTCCCATCGCGGCCGAAGCTCGTTGCCGCCGGCCATGTCGTCACAAAGCTTATTGTTGCTGTCGCTCGCACCCGAGCTTGGTCTTGAGCTCCTGGAGCTCCCACGAGGCCAACGCACTCCCGTTCTTGCCGCACCCTGGCTGCGCTCGTCGCGAGCTCCTGACCGCCCCGTCCGTGTCCGCCATCGCCAGCTCGCGCCATCTGCGCGCGCGACGTCGCGCCCATCACTCCCGGCCGTGCACGGCGCTGCTCGCCGCCCCGCGTGCGCCCTTGCGCCTGCTCGGTGAGCACCACCCCGTTCCCTCCTTTTCCCTCGTCACCGTAGCCGCCTGCTGTGCACCACTGCTCGCCAGCCGCTGCCGACGCAGCCTGCGTCTCCTGCCCGGTGCCACTCCGGCACCCTCTGCCTCGCCCGACCGCCCCGCTCTGACGCCCCCTTGCCGCGCTACTCCGGCTATCGCCGTGGCCGGTGGCCCCCTTGGTGGCCTCGGGCCTCCAAGCGGGCACACGGTACGCCCGTGCCTGTAACCGCACGGTCGGGTGCCCGTTAAGGCCCCTAGGGCCATTGACATGTGGGGCCCAGCCCCTAGAACATTTTAAAAAAAGAGAATTAGAAGTAAAAAACAAATCTAAAATAAATAAATAAATTATTAATTAATTAATTAGTGAATTAATTAAGTTAATTAATTCTTCTAACTAAACTAATTGAATCTAGTTAACCAAATCTTTTAGTTAAGCTAATTAACTCTGATTATTTAAACTGTGTCAATGACAGCGGGACCTAGCTATCAGTTTGACTAGTCAACAGTCAGAATTGACCGCTGACGTGATGATGACATCATAAATGCTTTTTGATTAAATTAACTCTGCTAATTCTAAAAATCGTTTAAAACTTTAAAAATTAATATAAAATAAACCATAACTCAGATTGAAAAACTTTGTACATGAAAGTTGCTCAAAACAACGAGACGAATCTGGATACGCAGCCTGTTTGTTCGCCACACATCCCTAGCATAGCAAACACACAACTTTCCCACTCCGGTTCATCTGTCCGAAAACGCGAAACACCGGGGATACTTCCCGGATGTTTCCCCCCTTCGCCGGTATCACCCCCTACTGCGTTAGGGCACACTTGGCACCGCTACTTGTTTTGTCATGCATCGATATGCATCTGTTTGCATTGTATTAATTGTTTCTTCCCCCTCTTCTCTCTGATAGACTATGAGACTGACGCTGCTGCTGGTACCCCGATCGACTACGGTGTTGACGACCCCTCCTTGCCAGAGCAACTAGGCAAGCCCCCTCCCTTGATCACCAAATATCGCCTAATCTTCTCTATACTGCTTGCATTAGAGTAGTGTAGCATGATACTGTTCGGTTATTCCTATTCTGTTGCATAGCTTGTCATTGTTGCTACACTCATTGATACCTTACCCGCAATCCTAAATGCTTAGTATAGGAAGCTAGTTTATCATCATTGGCCCTACATTCTTGTCAGTCTGCCTTGCTATACTATCAGGCCGTGATCACTCGGGAGGTGATCACGGGTATGTACTATTCATACATATACTATACATATGGTGACTAAAGTCGGGCCAGCTTGTTGAGTACCCGCAAGTGATTCCGATGTGGGGGCTGGAAGGACAGGTGGCTCCATCCCAGTAGAGGTGGGCCTGGGTTCCCGATGGCCCCCGACTGTTACTTTGTAGCGAAGCGACAGGGCAGGTTGAGACCACCTAGGCGAGAGGTGGGCCTGGCCCTAGTCGGCGTTCACGGTTGCTTCATAATAACACGCTTAACGAGATCTTGGTATTTGATCTGAGTCTGGCCACTGGCCTATATGCACTAACCAACTACGCGGGAAAGATATGGGCACTCGACGTCATGGTATCAGCCGAAGCCTTCTAGACGTAAGCGACTAAGCGGCGCGCGCCGGATTGGAACATAAGCCTGCTCTTGTATTAAGGGGGCTAGTTCTGCTTTCGGCCGCCCACGCAACGTGCAGATGTGCAATGGGCGATGGGCCCAGACCCCTGCTCCATAGGAGTTAGAGCGGCATGCTGACCTCGCTGTTAGGCCTAGGTGGGGCTGCGACATGTTGATCTTCCGAGGCCGGGCATGACCCAGGAAATTGTGTCCGGCCAAATGGGATCGAGCGTGTTTGGTTATGTGGTGCACCCCTGCAGGCAAGTTTATCTATTTGAATAGCCGTGTCCCTTGGTAAAAGGACGACCCGGAGTTGTACCTTGACCTTATGACAACTAGAACCGGAAACTTAATAAAACACACCCAGACAAGTTC